GACCTCAGGGCTTTATGCTTGCTAGGCAGGTTCTCTGCCACTTGAACCATTCTGCCAATCAAAAAAAATTGAAGTTTTAAATTAAAAAATTAACTGATTTGTAGTGCCACAAAAAATGTCATGTAGAAAATAAGTAACTATAGCTCAGGTAACCTGTACATAAGAATGCACAGTAATGTTTATTATAGAAAACACTAACCTTGAAACTTTCAAGTACTTTAAATGAAGGTTCAGCAAAGTACAATCCATGGAGCAAATATGGCCCCTGACTTTTTTGTAAGTGCAGCAAGGGATTTCTGAGACACAGCCACTCTTATTTGTTCACATATTGGCTAGGACAGCTTTTCTGCTCAATTGCAGAAGTGAACAGCTGTGACAGAAACTGTATGGTCTATAAAACCAAAAATATGTGGCCTTTTACAGAAGAAAGCTTCCACTTCCTGCTCTTAATCTATGAATGCTGAGCTTCAACCTTCAGCTTTTTGGAACACAGCTAGACCTGGGGCCCACCAACCTGCACTTCTAACAAGTTCACAATGCTCTAAACTATCGCATATAATTATAGATCAACAAGGACTATAAGAGCCTAAACTCTACAAAACAGGCTAGCTGTCATAAAATGAACATTTGAGACATAAGAGAAGAATGAGTTAGATTTCTTGACTTATATGGAATTATTAGTGGCTAAGAAAATACGATGTGGTGGTGCATGCCTGTAATCCCAACACTCAGAGGCTGAGGCAAGGATGCCAGTTTGTGGCTATACTAGGCCACACAGTAAAGTTCAGTCCACTTGAGGCTACACAATAAGACCTTGTCTCAAAAACAGCAAGGGAAAAAAAAGGAGAAAGGAAAGGAAGGGAGAGGAGGGGAGGGGAGGGGAGGAAAGAAGGAAGGGAAGGAGGGAAGGAGGGAGGAGGCAGGAAGGAAGAAAGAAAGGAAGGAGTAAACAAAAAAGAGAAGAAAAGAAAAAAGGTACAATTAGTTGCCATATCATCAGGTAATTCTTCAGCCCCTCCCTCTAATACTAACTTCTGGAACTTCAACAGGGGCCAGCAGGATCCAAAAGCAGGGATTAGACGTGTAAAACCTAACCTATTCTTCAAAGAAACTTGTAAACACATTTTTAGTAAAAGCCAAGGTACACACAGGTACAATTTTGCAGTTAACTGATTATAAACTTAAGCACTAAAGTGTAACATTTGAAAAAATCAGACAGTTTATAATCTAATGGCCCAATCAAAAGATGAATTCTTTACTTAATATAAATAAACTGAATTCTTTAAATCCTAACAAATATAGGAAAGAAAATAGAAAATGTTATATTAGTTGTGTAAGTTGTGATCAAAAAAAAAAAAGTCTTCTGAGAGAAAAACTTAAAGGGAGGAGGGATTCTTTTGGCTCATAATTTCAAAGGATTTGGTCCATGGTTGCTTGGCCCCATTGCATGGGCAAAACATCATGGTGGCAGGAAGCAGGTCTTCCTTCCCCTCTTGGTTGACAGGAAGCAGAGGAAGGGGTCAAGGACAAGATACCCCCAATGGCCTGCTCCCAGGGACCTGCTTCCTCCAGCTAAGTTCTACCTCCTAATGTTTCCAGAGCCTCCCAAGAGCACCACCAGCTGGAAACCGATCTTTTAAAAGATGAGTATGTACGGGCATTTCACATTCAAACCATAACAGAGGTCAACTGATATATTTTATTAGAGCTAGTTTCAAGCAGAACAAAAGAAGATGATATGTAAACCATCTAATAATATTAATGTCTTTCACCTGGACACTCTAAAGAATAGAGATATGAGGTAGGGATTTGGAAGAAAAATTCTCTTTGCTAACTTACTGGGACAAGAAACACCACCTTTTCCTTTTTCAGCTTTAGTGAGCATCTACCATGTTCAGAAGCACTGGACTAGGTATTTAGGACAGAGATGACTTAAGACCATCCTCTATTCAAAAACTCACAATCTAGAAGTGTGCAAATAAATTGCAATATGAAATGTTGTGTTCAGTACTCTTAAGAGTGTAGAAAGCAGGCTCACTGTGTGCTTGGGAAAAAGATGAAAGAAGTCCTCACTCACACAGTTATTGCTTTACCTGAGACCTGAAGGAATGGAGTTGGTCAAGAAAAGGGCAGAGGGCTCACCAGAGCACAGAAAAGTGTGCGAAGGCGTGAGAGTGACATGATCTGTTCTACACACAGGTTGGTTTGTGAAGTGGAAAGGGATGAGGTGGTAGGCCGGGCAGGAAGGCAGTGTCCTACAGAATGAGCCGTGGTTGCAAAGAAGGAGAAAAGACTGGAATCTACATATTACACTCTGGATCTAAGGAAAGATTACCTTGTTTGTCCAATAAGGTCAAATGAATTTACCAACAAGTAATAGTTAAAGATGACATTATGGACCATGTAGACAAAAGAGACTGTATCAGACCATTATGCTCAAACCTTGGACAAGCTGTAATTTTTCTGGGCTTCAATTTGTTCATCTGCATTATGAAGGGCTCATGGGTTCTTAACCTGAGCCATAAATAAAAGTGTATTTCAATATAATTTATTCCTTTTATAATCCTACACATTTTATTTATTTAAATTTTAAAATATTCTTATTCTGAGAAGGGATAATGGCATAGAAAAGGTCAAGGAGCTCTGCATGATCTTTAGGCTCACTTTACAACTCTCAAATTATAGGATTTGCCCATTCAATGCAGAAACTAAAGGAGAATGCTGCTGACCAAGGACAAACAGGAATGCGAGAGCAGAAAGCACAACACTATAGACTAAAACATTACCTAGCTATTAAAGGTCTGACACACTGATGTTCTCTGTCTTTTCTTCTTGTAGACTTAAGTTAATGCTGGTGTTAATGCTGCTTTTTTCTTTTGTATCTTAAAGCTACTGAAGTATGATTTGTAGGAAAAAAAACCACATGCCAGGCATGGTTGCTCATGTCTTTAATCTCAGATACTGGAGAGGCATAAGTAGGATAACTGAGGTCTGAGGCCTGCCCAGCAAAAACCAAGAAACCTGATCTACAAAAAAACAAGAAAGAAAGAAAAAGGGCTGGGGTTGTGTGGCTCGAGTGGTAGAGTGCCTGCCTAGCAAACTAAGGCCCTGAGTTCAAACCGCAGTACCGGAAAAAATAAACAAATAAACAAGCAAACAACAAATTTCATTAATAAAGGCTATGAAAGCGTTTAGCACCTGAGGAAGATTAGATTAGGAAGAGATTGGCCATGTTAGCAATCAAATAAAGGGGACAACAAAAAGCCTTGATAATGTCCAAACACAAAACTACCTGGAAAAGACACTAGGTACATTAAAAACAAAGCAAAACAAAAAACACTTTTTTTTAGTCAGAAAAGAAACAACTGCCTTTAAAAATATATCCCTGGAACAAAAACTAGTTGTTGTTCAAACCCCAGTCCCACCCAAAAAAATAAATAAAAAACAAAAACTAATTGTTACTGCCTTACAGTCACAGGCCTTTAAAATAGCAGGGTGTACCTCTCTACTGTCCTTACACTGGTGTTCTAAATCATGTGAACTTAGAAAGTCATTGTTGGCATTCAAACTTAAAACTGTATGTAACTACTGAAAGAAAAAAAAAAAACAAATTAAAATGCTTTAAAAACACTACTGAGGACTGGAGGTGTGACTCAAGCAGTAGAGCACCTGAATTTGCAAGCTCAAAACCCTGAGTTCAAACCCCAGCCCCTCCACCACCCCCCAAAAAACACTTCTGAAACATAAGTTATAAACATACACTATCACTGGGGAAATATAAATACAGTTACTGCTTTATGGTATCTCCACTGTGCAGTTTATTTTAAGGCATTAAAATGATTCTGATTAATCAATGGAAGTCTTACTGTTTCATTTATTCAGTGTTCAAAGGGTATTATGCAGGGCGGGGCATTTAGCTCAGTGGCAATACGCTTGTCTAGTATGCATGAGGACCTAGGTTCAATCCCCAGTACCACATTAAAGAAACTTGTTTGAAGAACCACTGGAAGGTTACAACAATATAATTTGTAGTATCTTTTTAAATTACATCTATTTAGCATTTGAAAGCTTGGCTATTCCAGACATGAGTCTACAATGAGGTAGTCAGACTACTATTCAACTGAAAACAATGGAAGACCTTCAAAGCTGCAAAATCACACAAAGTCAGTTTTTAAAATAGTATCTATATGAGATTTGGGGGGGTTCACTGCTTAGAAACAATCTAAGGAAGAAAAGCCTTCACCATCTTCAAACAGTTTTTCTACTGAAAGATGATAAAAATAATGCATTTCTCTTTTCTCCTGCAGGAGACATATCAACCTAACAGATCTGGATGGGAGGTCAGGTTCCTGTCTCTACAGGTAGCTCTTTCTTCCCACACCTCCTAGCGATCTGCATATCTCTAAACCAGAGTTAGGTAACTAAGGCACCTCAGGCAGTCTTTAGTGTCACTTTGCTTGACATGTGGTTTCATTTAACAAGTATCTTATAAAGAATACTTAAGTGCTATGTTTAAAATAAGTCACTTTTTAGTAAAACACTGTCTTTAGCCCCAAAATTCCAATTATTTATTGGCTTTGGAAAAACTGAGCCACATCAACATTACAACTGTTGATAAAAACATGTAAGTTTCTTCAAGCCCAGGTAATCTAGACTGTATGCTCAGTGAATAAGAAAAATTCAGAATTCACATTTCTAGAGAAGCTACTATACATAATTCAGAAAAGCAAAATATTTGCCAGATGTAAGATATTTAGAAATCACGCAGTAACCAGACTTCATTAAAAAACAAAACGTGTCTTAAGCAAATTCACCTAAAGAGGGACCCAAATGTATACAAAATATAAGTCAGTATGGGGATTCAATTTTCAAAAAGATTTTTCAAAATATGATTTGCACAAAACTTGAAGAAATCCTTTTATGATTAAAGATAACAGTCATAGTTCATTCTAGAACAAAGTGTAAGCCATTTTTCAATAAAGTCATGAAGAACGACTCACCTCCATTTCCACTGCAGCAATACCCTGGTCATAATGACCCATCAGATTAGGGAAAAACGTCATGTTGTATGTCATTTTCATGCATCTGGGGACAGTGATTGGTTCACAGGTGAAAAGACTGTGTCCCCTTAGGAGGGGTAGAAAACTACACATCAACAAAAACGTGAACATTTCCATTTTCTTCAAATTCTTGATTTCACCACATGACTTGGATCAATCAATCGCTCCCTTCATCATCGGAAGATTCCCATCCGAAGATAAAATCATTCAATTCCTCATTTCATTATTTTACCATTTTGAAGGAAGCTGTTTTCCTGAAAACGAGTTCTGGGTCAGTTGCTGTGAAAACAACCCAGAGGGTGTTATCAGCAACATTTGTCACAAAATCAAATGCAAGTCAAATGTCACTCTAGGTAACTGACTTAGGAAAAAGCGATGGAAAATTCCAACCTAGAAAGATAGGCTTTCCCCTGCCTTGGCAAAGGGATGTATGATTTGGTGAGAAAGTCTTTTCTCTGGGGGACTGCTGACGGAAGGTTTGTGCTGTTTGGAACACAGGGCAAAAAGGAGGCACTGGATGAGGGACTTGGAAGAAAAAAAAACAATGTTGGTGCTTAGGAATAAGTTAAAAGGGATTAACAGAATCATAAGATCTACGGGTCCCTTCTAAGAAAGCGAGGCCCAGGGAAACTCCTTAAGACCCAAAGAGCCGTTAAACTTTTTAGACTCTAAAGTCAGTTTCTGTGATAGTCTTCAGGGGATAGACTTTTCCTGTTTCTTCAAAAGGCCAAACTACAAGGGACACTTGATTCCTCCTGTGGAGGGGCGAAACTAGTTCTCACGGGCTGGGGGACTGGGGGGCTGGGGGGCTGGAGGGCGGGGGGGGCGAGGGGGGGAAGGGGGCAGGGGGGCGGGGGGAGGGTAGGGCAGAGAGATGCTTTGGAGATGGGGAAATAAGCAACTCTGCCCCGGAAGGACGACGAGGGTCCAGGGTCGGGTCCATGGGCCCGAATTAATGATTTTAAGGATTTTGTTCATGCTTTTTTTCTACTTGTTCTAAACACGGGCTTCTTGTTTCTCTCCAAGTCGCTCAACTACGCCTCCCATTACCGTGATGCCTGCATCAGAAGCAGTTCCTGGAGATGAGACTTTGTGATGCCCCCAAGACACCTGGTTCCCTGGCCCCAGAAACCCACGCCTGAGCACCTGCCCCGGGCCTTGGAGCCCGGCAGGGCAGCGGCGTCCCGGCCTGCGGGGCCCGAGGGGACCGGCGTGGCCTTTCAGGAGCGACTCGCACTCCCCGGGACCCTGGGGCGGGTGCGTGCCAAGCCGCCGTCCGCACCTGCGCCCCCGCGCGCCCCACCCCGGGGTCCCCGCTGCCGTCGGGCCCCAGGCCCCTCGAGCCCCCCCGCCCCGATCCGCCCGGCCGCCCGCTCGGGGGACCCGACGCCTCACCTCGGCGGCGCTCGGACGCCGCTCGCCCTCCGACCGCCGTCCCCCCGCAACCGCACACGGCCCGGGGGAGCGTCCGGGACGCCGGGAGCCGCCGCGGGGGCCGCACGCGGAGCGAGAGCTGAGCGATCCCGCGAGACTGCGCCGCCAGGTCGGCCGGGCAGGTCCGGGCTCGCGGCGGCGGCGGCCTTGGCCTTGGTTTCCCAGCCCCGCCCCGTCCCGTCCCGCGCCCGCCGCGTGGACCCGAGCTCCTCCGCTCTGCCGTCGGCTACCGAGCCCGAGCTGCGCCCCGTCTCGCTTTCGGGCCCGACGCCTTCACCCTAAATCTCTTTGAAGGTCTTGGTGATCCTCAGAGCTCCCCTCCTAAATCGGGGCCAGTGGGTCCTGTGAAGTCACTGCCCAAGTGACCCGAGTTTGCAAGTATGCAACTTCCTGGATAACTTAACCAAAAATCCCGTTTGTGTCTTCAGGGAGCCTGGCACACCTCGAAGTGCAGGTGCCAGTGAGATTCCAGCCCTAGCCTGTCCTACTGTTTTGCTCATGCAAAATCCTCATGGAAAGTCAACGTGGTGGTGGTGGTGTTTGTTTTTGGTGGTGCTGGGACTCGAACCCAAATCCTCAAGCATGCTAGACAAGCGCTCTACCTCTGAGCTACAACACAGACCCAATCTGGTTTTAGTTGCAGCTCTGCCACACATCGTCTCAAATAAATTAGCTAATCTTTCCAGGCCTTAGTTTCTTTCCTATATGTGTAGTTATAATGGTGGCTGATATTTTTTTGAAGACTAAGTCTGGATAAGTGCCAATCCTTTCATTTATTTACATAAAACCTGTAGGACCTTGCTCTGAGATGGATGGAATTGCAACATGAACTTGTAGAAGCATTTTTACAAATGAAAAGCGACTTTTAAATGGACGCTATTATCAGATAAATCATCCTGCTGCAGAAAAATGTCACATTTTAATACCGGGATAAACGCTTTCTATGAAAATTTTTATTTTCATTAATTTAATTTTCAAAATTAAATGATTTTGCTGAAATGAAGGCTAGAAAACAAATTACATGACTTTGATATATAATTTATAAATGGTAGAGGTTTTTATTTCATTACTTATCCAAACATCTCCAGCCCATCACCAGTCTATGCCAGATACATGCAATAATAATTTAATTTATTCATCTTTGATATTTTGCCAATTCTCATTAAAATGTAATTTTATACATTTAAATATTTTTGTCTTTATAAAGGCCTTTTTTTTTTTTGAAAGGCAGGAGGATGGACCATACTTTATGTAACAGTTTGTTATTTTGGTATATGATTTCTAAATATACAGGCATATAATATGGTATCCTTTGTGCCCATTCCACATACATAATTGTGACAGGCCTGTTTGTGACCACTGGCCTCTTACTGAGGCTCTGACAACTTAAAGAAGCACAGCAGTAGTGGAACCCCAACCTGAGAGGAAGCAGGGCGGAGCAGAGGCTCAGTGAACAGCAGAAGATAACCAATTAGAACACTGGTATGAGTCCCTTCCCTCCTGAAGTTCTCTCTCAATCCCTTCTTTGCCTAGGCCTTGGAAGCTCTACCCAGGGCTCCAGTCCTTCCAAGTGCTTTTGTGAATTTAATCACACATTGACTTAACTTAGGGCCGTCTATGAACATGGCATGCAGGATAGTTTATTTAAAAACTGACTTTCACATGAAGTGTTGCTCCCTGTTCTAAAATCTAATTGCTGCAGTGTTTGCAGCATAGCAATTAACTTTTGGAGCGCATCCATTATGGTTGGCCAGAAATAACATACCTTCTAATTACTACCTCCAGTGTTACTGGAAAAATAAAATTTTCAGTGCAGTAGTAACAGGACACTGCAGGAAAGAGTCACATATTTTAATGACAGTTTGATGTACAAGATTCCTCTTTGGAGCTCTGGTATTGTCATTTGCAAACAAAAAGATTCATAATGCTAAAGAAAAATAGCTTTTGCTCTATTAATGCTTTTAGTTATATCTTGTGTCTGTAAGTTTAACCTGCTAGGTTTTGCTTTTAGTGGCTTCAATATCTACCATCTGGTCATGGTTAATATTTAATATCATATACTTATTTTTTTAGCAAAGCAGTCATGTTAATTCAAATATTAGGATTAATAATTCCCCCAATATGGCTAGTATCTGGAAAATGGCTTCTTACCTCACATTTAGGGTTTTGAATAATAGCTAAATTAATTTCCTTTGACATGCATATTCAATTTTATACCTAATTGCACATCATGGACTGCTAACTACTATATACAATAGTATCCCGAAAGACAAATGGGATAAATTCATAGATTAGAAAAATTAATATTGTCAAAATGTCCATCCCACCAAAAGTGATCTATATTCAAAGCTATATCAAAATTCTAATGGCATGTTTACAGTGATAGAAAAATTAATCCTAAAATTTTTACATCACCACACAAGACTCTGGACAACTAAAGCCATCTTGAGAAAGAGAAACAAAGCCTGGAAGCAACACATTTCCTGGTTTTAAAATGAATTGCAAAGTTACAGGCATCAAAGAAATACATCACTGGCATAAAAACAGACATATAGGCCAGATTTTGGAGCCACTAAAAACAAAACCCGGCAATATAGAAAGCCTGGATATAAAACCATGCATATACAATCAATTAATGTCTGACAGGCGCATGAAGATACAATGGAGAAAGCTTAGTCTCTGGACAAATGGTGCTGGGAAAATAGGATATCCACATGCAAAAGAATGACATTGGACCTTTATCTTACACAAATAAATACAAAATAAAACTTGAAATACAAAAATAAACTTGAAATAGACTAGACCTAAACTTAAGACCTGAAAGAGTAAAACTCCTAGAAGAAAAGATAGGGAAAAAGTCCTTGACATTAGTCTTGGCAATGTTTTTTAGATATGACACTAAAGAACAGGCAGCAAAAGGAATTGTGATAACATCAAACTAACAAGTTTCTGCATGGCATAGGAAGCAATCAATGAAGTACAAAGGCAATGTGTAGAGTGGAAGAAAATATTTCCAAGTTATATCTCTGATAAAAAGTTAGCATCCAAACTACATAAGGAACTCACACAAGTCGATAGCAAAAAATAAATAAATAATCAAGTTACTGAATTTAAAAATGGGCAAAAGTACTGAATAGATAGGAATGGCCAATATGCAGGAAAAAGGTACTCAACATAGCTGATTGACCATCAGGGAAATGTGAATTCAAGCCACAATGAAGTAACACCTCACACCAGTGATGATGGCTACTATTAAAAAGGTAAGAGGCAAATGCTAGTGAGTATGTAGAGGAACAGGAATCCTTATATGTGATTGTTGGGAATGTAAATTGAGACACCACTATGTGGAAAACAGTATGAGGCTTCTCAAAAAATTAAAAACAGAACTAACATATAATCTAGCAATCCCACTTCTGGATGTAAGCCGAAGGAAATGAAATAAATTATCTCAGAGAGACGTCTGCACTCTCGTGTTCATTGCAGCACTATTCATGCTAGTCAAGATACTGAAACAGCCTAAGACTTTGCTGAGGGTAAGTGAATAAAGTAATTATGGGATATTTTTCAGTCATAATAAAAAAGGAAATCTTGCCATTTTCAACAATATGGATAGATCTGGAGAACATTATGCCAAGTGAAGTGATCCAGACACAGAAAAATAAGTACTATCTAATCTCACCTACGTATAAAGTCTAAGATCTCAAACTCAAGATCCTCCTGCATCAGCTTCCCAAGTGCTGGGATTACAGGTATGCATGCCACATCTGGCTGAGAGAGTAGATCTTAAATATCTTCTCTCTCTGCCCCCACAAAATGGTAACTGTGTGAGGAATGGATATATTTTCAACTCGTGTTAATCATTTCCCAACAAAATCATCACACTGGACACCTTGAGCATACACAACTTTTATGGCTGTTTCAATAAAGATGGGGGCAAGGGGACAAAGAAATACAAAAAAGAAAGAAGAGGGTTGTTTCCTCTTTACAAATGGGGCAAATGTGTTATAGGATGATAGGTAAAAAAAAGTGGAATTAAACTTTTAGAGTTTAGAAATTAAAGAAATATTTTGCAGGCCAATAGAAAAGACTTAGAGGATAAAGTTTTGAGGAGCTACTTGAATGTAAAATTACTGAGAGACCTGATGTTTCCAATACGTTGTGTGGATTTGTTTACAGGTGGCACAAGGATAACTTAATGCAATGGATCTTGTGTATTTCCACTTTAAGGCAGAAGCAGATTTACTATGAATTAATAGAACTTAAGCTTCAAGGAACTTTCCTAGCTCTAATTTGATATTTGGAATTTTACATTCTTTTTATTACAAAGGATGTTTAAAATAATGTAAGCTTCAAGAACTTCACAATCTGAAATAACATAGTGAAGACCAGGGAAATGGAGTAGGTCAGGTAGGCTGTGAGGAAGTTAATAACATTTAGAAGCGTTGGACTGATTTCTTCTAGAAAGAGGGTCATGGTGGAAAGGGAGATTGCTGAACTATTTATTATTATTATTAACAATGTCTTCTAGCATCTTGTAGAACTAACCAACTTTTGTGTGTATCACTTGACAAAAGTTAAAATTACTTACGTGAGGGGAGACAGGCACTGGACAGTCCAGTTACACACAAATTCTTTGTTGTAGAGATCATGAAACGAGAGCAAACCATACCAGTCTTCATCCTTGTACCCTTCTTCCAGTCTAGTTGTCAAAAGGAGAGTTCATGGGGACAGGAACTTTTCCCGCACTGCTTGTCCTGGCCCTTCGCCTTCTCCAGCAGTGATGAGGGATGTCTTTCCATCATGGGTTTCCTCCATTATCCTTTCCCCTGGGTTGGAGTTTTTCTTCACGCCATGATATTTGTAAGTAGAATTGCATTACCCTCATGGTGATTTTAGCTTCCAAGTAATTCCACTAATGAGCAGCTAAAACCACAATAAGAACTTGGGTGAATTTCACCTTAAGTCATGCCTCTTACTTCAATGATTATACGTTGCTCAAATTGCAATGGATTGTAATCTTATTTTCAGGATAGTCTTTTATTAAAAAGAAAGATGGCTTAATTGGGAATCTTATGAATAAAATATTTCCATTTTAGTAAAGACTCTGGATAGGATAAATTTGATTAATAAATTTATGATAGCACAATGATAAAAAGGGAATTAATTACTTCAGTAGTTCAAAAACTAGAATACCTGAAATTATAAAAGGCATTCTACAAACCAGGTACAGTGATTCAGGCCTGTAATCCTTCCTACTTGGGAGGTAGAGATTGGGAGAATCA